CGCGCACACGCACACACACACACACACTCACACACACTCACATTCACACACACACACACACACTCACACACACTCACATTCACACACACACACACACACACACACACACAGTCCCTGCCTGGGCCCCCTCTTCCCTGGAGCATTCCACCCAACCCCACATGAGGTTCCTAGACACCCCGAAAGGCTGCCACCACCCTGAAGCCGCCTGTCAACACTCCAGGGGGCCACCCCACCCTACTGTGGGTTGGAGGAAGAGAGGGAACATTTACTGGGACTTCAGCGTGTACCTCATGTGAGCCCCTCATCTGGTGCCCCCAAGACCGGTGAGAAGGGTGAAACTTGTCCGGGAGCACCTGGTGGGGGTCTGGGGCTGTACCTCTGGCGGTCATTTTGCAGGTGTGGGTGGCCACCTGCCTCAGCTGGGGCTGTGGGGTGAGGGTCGTCCTCCTCAGCTTCCTGTGGTTCACAAGGCAGAGCTCCTCCAGGGCTCCTGCCCCACCCTCACCCTCGAACCTCTCCCGCACAGTAGGTCTTCAGCAAATGCTGGTTCAGGCTGAGCCACTAGCTTGAGCCCCAGCTGTCCATTTCCTGAGGGCCCAGGGTGAGCAGCCGCCACCCTGTCAGGGGAGGGAGCCCCCTGTGTGTGTGTCCCGTTCAGGTCCCCCCTCCTTTGGGTCCTGAAATGCAGCTCTAGGCTGAGGGGTGGCGTGACCCTGGCTGCTTCTGTAGGCCCGACTCCCTGCAGACGCCCTTTCCCTGGAGCCCAGGCTCTGGCCTTCCGCAGAGGTAGGCTGGTGGTGCCCACGAGTAACCTAAAGGGATGTTAGGTGTCCTGTATCCTGCCCTTGGGTCTCAGCCCTGCCAGTGACACTCAGGTGGGTTTCACTGCCCTTCCCCATCTGTCACAGCTCAACCCAGGATGGTGAGAGGCAGGGCTGGACGGTGAATACCCAAGGCCATGCATGGGTCAGTGGGGACCCGGCTTCTGAGAGGCTGTCAGGGGGCTGGGGCAGGAGGGCTACTCAGCTGCTTAGCGTCGCTCTCCACCTGCTTCTGGGGTCAGGGCCACACCTGGTGCTTGGGAGGGTGGCAGCGCCAGGATAAGCAGTGACGCAGTAGGCCAGATCCAGGCCAGACAAGAAAGCTTAGGGCCTCATCCATCCCCTTGGCTTTCGCTTCTCACTCAGGTAGGTGTTTTATTTTTCCTAGATCTGAGCTGTCTTTCTTATGTTGAACACATTTCTTTCATCCTCGCTTTCCCCGGCTCTTAGTCGTCCTCTCTCTTCCTGGCACCTCCACCCCTGGGAGCCACCTCGCTCCGTCTGTAACCTGCCCCTTTCCCGCCCTCCTACTGCTCGCCACATCCCTGGGTTGGA